GGGGTCTTTGGCTCCTGTAAGAAAAGTGTAAGAAGGGGGGGAGGGGGTCTCTTGAACTAATGTAATATTACTCTTTTGTGAGGTGAAAAAATATTTTTGACTTAATAATGAACTCTGCATTTGTTGATGATAACTAATTTCACTTTTTTTTCAACATAAATGATCAACAGAGATACAGTGGAATCCTGATAAAGTCAACTTGCTTAAAGTCAACTCTTGCTTACAGTCAACACCTCACTGTGGTCCCGTTTCTTACCTTCTTTGTTTAAGTAATTGTGTTTCTGATACAGTCAAACGCTTGAGTGTTAACCTTGCGTAAAGTCAACGATTTGGGGCTAAATCCTAAGATGAATTCATTCAAGAAGAGATATTTCGCCGGAGCAAGTGGTGTACACATCTCCAATTACATATGTACCGGTACATGTACTTTGTTCTTTCATTATCTCTTGTGTTGGTGACAACTTCAGAATTACACTCCCTAAAATTGAGATTACATCTTGTTTATTACCAGGTACTTTGTAATCTTGTAGCTGTCATCTTCAATGTTCAATGGCCAGTAGTACAATGGATAAAGTCAACCTTGCTCAAAGTCAACAAATTTTTTTTCTGTCCTGGGGGTTGACTTTATCAGAATTCTACTGTAACTTGGGTTTTTTTTTAATTAAAGCGCTTTTGTCATAGACATGAGTCTCAATTTTTTCCCTTTTTATTAGTAAGAAAGTGCGTGTGCAATATTTTCCTTGAATGATTTACTCAGGCGCTCGTCAAAATAATGAAAGTGAAAAAACCAAACTTTCCCGCAGGTTTGGGAACTTTTATTGAATTTTCTTTTTCGCGCTAAACACCTTTTACGTCCATACTGAAAAACGTTCATTACATGCTCCAAATTTGTGATTTTTTCAGTTTTAAAGGCTCTCAAGCTATTGAAGTTATCAAACTTTGGCGGCCGTTTTCTCACTAAATTTACCTCTGAAATCAGGTGACCCCACCTCCTTCAATCACAAATATTTCGACTTCTATTCAGCATAGATGAATATTGTTTTCATCAAAAGGAAGGCAAATGGACAGGCTTTACTTAGATGATATCAATAACTCTGTATGCCTCAAAATCAAAACTGGCGAGCACCTGATCCCACCATGTCGTGACACCTATTATTTTATACTGCATATATTATGTGCATATTATTATTTTTATTGTGTGTACGGGTTTTTCATGAATATTATGCTATGCGCATAGAGCAATGATTGTTTTACGGGTTTGCGCGATATAAATGTCATAGTATTTTTATCCTTATAAGCAAACAATGTAATATTACGGGGGGTAAGGGCAAATGTAAGAAAAGTGT